TCAAATATCGATTACTTCAATTGCTTTGCTTTAGCGTCTTTCTTTATAAAGGTTATACAGTAAGCATCCAAACCATTGGTAATTGAAGTGGTTTATATAAGTTGATTCATATATTTACGAATATATATATGTATATATATATCTGTATTTGAATCAAGCAAAAGTATTAAAATAGGATTCCTGACGAAAGTGAGTAAATATTTGCGTAGTTTCATGCATCATCACTTTTGCTGCTTTATGATATTCAATGTGCGTAATTGATACCAGTTCCTATTTTGAATATTGATTTACATGAGGACTATATATATATACATATTTGAAAAAGGACAGCATACACTTACACAAAGTTGAAAAAATTATTAAACTGAATTTTACAAGATTCTGAAAGTAAGTATTCTTTGTATCTCCGATAATGCTTGCTTATTTGTAGCATCTGTTTAAATATACAGAATTCTCTAAATTAATCAATCGTCTATTAAATTGCTTTAGTTATCGTTAAAATATGACCGCTGATTCGATAGAATGAACAAGTGCGGAAGAGAATATCGATATAATATAGCTCGACAGACACTAGATCGAGAAAAAACATCTATTGTGAAACACGGTAAAGTCATCATTCATTGCCAAAAGTGACAATGATCAAGAAAAGACGAAGAATTTGCTGATGAACACCTAAGAGAAATCTCACGTGTTGTTCAAAACTTATAGGCACTTTAGTGTTTTGCCTTTTTTTATTTAAGAAATATATAAACATATGTTCTTTCATCAGCGTAAGTAAAGATACAATGGAAGAAGGCAGAAAATAGCTCAACAGACACTAAATCTTCTCGTAGAGAAGAAGTTCAGTTTTGGGATTAAGATATGCCGAATATCATAAAGATCTACTCTATTCAATACAACCACATATAAAAAAAGAAGTGAAATAAATGAATGTGTTTAATGATCATGTTCACTCTTCGTAATCATCGATAGTATTATACATACGTCATTAGTGCAGCTTGAAACGGAAAGGCAGGAATGTGTTAACTATCCGCACTATAATAGTTCGGAAAAATCGGTAAAAACTTATATGAAAATTACACCACTATCATTTTGGAAATAATATATTTTTTTTATGTTAGATCAGAACATTTTTCTTTCAATCTGATAGAATTACTAAGATCATAATTTTCAGGTTTCGTAAAAGTTTTTTGAGGCCAGTTTTGTAAGAAAAAGAGTGAATTATTTAAAATAAAGTCAATGAAAATGTGTTTATAAGTGTTTGTTGATCGAATATATTAATATCTATATTGTTGTGAGACTTTTTTGTCTAACGATATACAATACACTTCGCGTCACTATTGACAGATGTCTGAGCGTCCGGATCAGTTCATATCGTTAGCATGATCTGCCAACAGACAAGTAAACTGTGTTTCTCAGTGCCAAAGAATACTAGCACACAACTGAGTTTCAGAATATTTTTAGAAACAGAAATACTTTATATAATTTCTTTTCTCAAAAAATAAAACTGAAAACTGGCAGCCATATTTGTGAGCTAATGTAGTTCGGATTATAGCACGAAAAAAGTTCATATCAATGCAAACTCTTCCTCTAATTTATAATTTTCAGCACGAATGCGAAGTGTAACAGGCTTCTAGCCTGTGAGGTTCATATCCGCAAAACAAGTTTCGGGCTATTCCTTGCTAGAGTGCTCGCTTATTCAAAGCCAACTAAACTTGCACGAAGGGCATGTTATTTTGTTTCATTATTTGCCGGATCCTAGAGAAGGACACTGAATAAATGAATCAATGCTTATAAATAGTGCTCAGGTAGCAAAAAGCTTATTTTAATGAGCAATAACGAAAAAAACGAAGTTTAGTTTTGAAAAAAAAAGAGCAAGTTTGTGGTCCTTATCATCTTCAAAATCGCTATTTATTTACAAAAATACTTTTTCAACCCGTTAATACGCGTTGTTTTATCGATGTTGTCTATTTGAGAAAAAAGAAAAGAAATATGCAATGTGCGTAAGTGTAAGGTATAGCACGGGACTGTCCTCAAGAAATTCTGTTGTAAGAAAACTTATGAATTTCAATAGAAAATGGAAATAACTGATGAAACGGTTAAAAAGATATCAATAAAAAAAGAGGTATAAATTTGAACTGCAATGATCGTTTTCGAGTCAGATGAGATGCCATTAGATGTCATTATTAAGACAGAAAGAGAATACTTTTTATGAAGAGCGACAATAGTAAAATGTCGGATAAAAATAAAATGCGGTTGAAGTTTATGTTAATTTTCATTTCATTCATAACAAAAAATATTCGAATGGTTGTCATTCCATCATAAAGTTAAATTGAAGTCGAGCAATTTTGATTTAATCCATCAGATAGATTTTCGCTATTAGACATTTCAAGGCAAATACATTGACATCTATCAGAAAAACAGAAAAGACTATATTAATCCGGTTTTTTCAAGAAAATAGGCAATAAATTTTGATAACCTTCGATCGATTCCAAGATTTGCACAAGTTCTTGATTAGCATTCCAAATCCAATCATGTTCGTTTTCTGCTTTGAAGTTTGGAATTATTGCGTCACTCTTATCTGATAATGAAATAAACTGATTCTTTTTCTCGTTAATTCTCTATGGATGTACGGCTTTTGCTTTGGATAAAAGTGAAGGAAGAGTCATATGAAAAAAAATAGTTTGCTTGCTTGTCATCGAATAAATGATCAAACGTTAAAAACAAACATAATCTCAAACAAGTTTTTGATATTAGACTCTCAACCAATCTGATTTTTTCATTTTTTTAGGCCAAGAAAAGAGTTTTTTGAGAAAATAATAATATTCCATAAAAATTGACGAAAGTGATTGTTAAAATAGAAAATCAATCGGTTAATTTATTTCTTTAAGAAATTTCCCGCGATTCAACTGTCTTACAGTCACTTGTTGTTTAATTTGTGAATGTTTTGCTTCATTTAATTGGAGTTTTTCTAGACAATAACACTCAAAACAGAATTTCAAAAGGAATTAAAGAAGATGAAAAATCATCCCATTGAACAACTTGACTCAAACCATTCTATCTCATAGGTTTTTTAATAGAAAAAGATATTCATCATATATAATCACCTTTTATTTCAGTATGAAATCTCTTCTATTCCTGCATCTACTAATCATGTTAATATCCGACATCAATACTATAATACAGAACGAAAATTCTTCAACACCAACTACTAATGATCGACAAATACTGGCAAAACTGAAAATTTATTCCAATCTTGCTGAAATTATTCAACCACTTGGTGATCTACCACTGGAATTTTCTGCTGAAGATTGGTCTAATATTCGTTCTGATTCATTGACTCTTATTGGCTCAAACGTCAATCTAACAGGGCAAACGATTACAGAAAAGAAAAACTCATTCAACAATCAATTAATTTATGTTCGTTCACCATTATCTTCACAAACAGAAACAAGATTTCTTGAAGCAACAATGATTGATGAAAACAGAAGTCTTGTTAAATTTGTTGATAATAATATTAGTCAAGAACCAATCTTTTTTACTGTTTCATCTAATGAAATACTTTATATTAATGAACCACTTCGATCAAAATATTATGTTAATTTCACATATGATGCAACAGATACAGTATATGTTAGTTATCTTCGTTCAAATCTTAATTGGAAAACACGTTATCAATTATATCTATTTGATGAATCAGAGGAACCAATATTGATTGCAATGGCTGATATTCGAAATAATGGAAAATCAAGGATTGATATCGAAAACGCTGAACTTTTAGCCGGTGATATAAATTTAAAAATGTCTGACCAACAAAACTCTGGGGCAGAGAATGGCTTTTACCGCGCTTTAGCTCCAGCGTACAACTCACAATTTCCAACAACAGTTGAAAAGAGTCAGGAAGTTGCTGGTGTATATGTATATACTATTAATCAATCATTTTCTATTGAGTCAAAAACAAATTACCTTTTACCGATGTTTCGTCCACAAGTAAACGTGACACGTTTTGTAAGTATTTATAAAACATATTTCTATGGCGTTACAAAATCGACTGGTAAAGGTGAACGTTCATATCGTTTGTCATCTGATGTTTTTCTNTGGAAATGGCGAGTCGTCCGCTTCAACACCAACTACTAATGATCGACAAACACTGGCAAAAGTGAAAATTTATTCCAATCTTGCTGAAATTATTCAACCACTAGATGAGTTACCACTTGAATTTTCTACTGAAGATTGGTTTAATATTCGTTCGGATTCATTGACTCTTATTGGCTCAAATATCAATATAATACAAAAAACAATTACTGAAAAGAGAAACTCATTTAACAATCAAACCATTTATATTCGTTCACCATTATCTTCACATACAGAAACAAAATTTCTTCAAGCAACAATCATTGATGAAATGAGAAGTCTTGTTAAATTTATTGATAATAATATTAGTCAAGAACCAATCTTTTTAACTGTTTCATCTGATCAAATACTTTATATTAATGAACCACCTCAATCAAAATATTATGTTAATTTCACATATTATACAACAGATACAGTATATGTTAGTTATCTTCGTTCAAATCTTAATTGGAAAACACGTTATCAATTAAATCTGTTTGATGAATCAGTGAAACCAATATTAATTGCAATGGCTGATATTCGAAATGATGGAAAATCAAACATCGATATCGAATACGCTGAACTTCTAGCTGGTGACATTAATTTACAAATATCTGAGCAACAAAACTCTGGGGCACAGAATAACTTTTACCGCAAAAACGCTGAAGAGGACGACTCGCAATTTCCAACAACAGTTGAACAGAGCCAGGAAGTTGCTGGTCTATATGTATATACTATTAATCAATCATTTTCTATTGATTCAAAAACAAATTACCTTTTACCGATGTTTCGTCCACAAGTAAACGTGACACGTTTTGTAAGTATTTATAAAACATATTTCTATGGCGTTACAAAATCGACTGGTAAAGGTGAACGTTCATATCGTTTGTCATCTGATGTTTTTCTTCCTCGTGGAAATTGTATGATACGTGAATATGATTATCTCGTTGGTGAAACATATTTACCAGATATAGCTTCTAAATATTTACATGAATTTTCAATTGGTCAAGATCCAGATATTTTTTATAACGAAACTGTTACATTAGTTTCATCGCGTGAGTATGAAAAAACGATTCAAGGAATCAATACAATTAGAAAAGAAAGGCAATCTATTTACAATGTTACTGTTCTGTTAAAAAATTTTAAGAATAATCGATCAATAAATGTGGAATATAAACAAACAACTCAAGGTTTATCGGTACGATTACTAATGTCTAATGGTGTTCGGACACAAGATGGAACTATACTTGTATATAAAACAACATTATCTGCTGATGAAGAAAAACTTATCTTTTACAAATTTGAAATCATCGATTTAATATAAAAGACAATTGTGTTTTTCGTTTTTTTTTTAATCTTACCATTTTCGATTATCTACTCTTTTCGTGTATTTTAAACTCGCATCAAGAATAATTAATAAAAAAACGTGAAAAAAAAATGATCGTTCCAAGATTTTTTTCAGATCTTATTTAAGTTAAAGAAGCGTTGTGTAGTTCAAATGTTCATATTTGTGTATAGTTTCTATTCTACCATAATTTAACGAACTTTTTCAAATATTCAAAGTTTTACTTGAAGATAAAAGACCTAACCTTTTAAATGCCTCAAAATATCTCTAGTTTTCTAAAATACAATAAGAGAACATTAAAAAATTTCTTCAGAAACAATCATAATCATTCATTTAAATGTCTTAAAGAGAAAATTTAGATTATTTTCGTAAAATATTCAAATTTTCGATATAACAGCTGACGCAAAAAATTTTTCATTTTTTTAGTAAATAAAAGAGTCAACAGATACACTTGAGCATTGGCATAGATTGTGCTCTTTTTAAATCTTTGTTCAAAATCTTTCTGAGTCTCATAGATTAAGAGTTTTGAACAAGGGTATGGGTGCAGACAATTATCCACACATGAACACCCACACTCTTAAAAGGATTCCGTCTTATATATTATCAGAGAAAAAGACATCCTTACTCTTCTTGTTTCGATTGATGAAAACCACAAATCGCTATCTGCTACAGTTGCCAGGATAGTCATAAAACAATGGAATGCCTCGAAGTTCCAAACCGACATTAGCCACGTAATTCTGCTTCATGTCAGCTTATCGAGAAATGTTCGCTTCATAACATCATGAGTTTTAAAAGAAACAATCATTTAATAGTTTATTTAAATATCTCGTGACAAATTGACAAGTATTTAATCAAAGTATGTACCATAGATGTATCATTGCAGTACATTTGTTTACATATCTTTATTTTCTAAGATTTTTCATTTGTTTAAAATGATAGAAAACATAACTAGTTTTATAGAGCTTAAAATTTTCTATCGTTTGATATAAAAAGGAATGGTTTTGATGATTTCATAATAGGAGAAATATCCATTAAGATTTCGCGCAATTTATTCTGAGATATTTGTTATTATGTAGATAAAAAAAAGAGTCATACTGTAACTTGGAATATGTATATCGACAAATTTTTTTTATAATAAAAAACCAATTAAAATACATAACTAGTGTACAAGTTGTTGTTAAACATAAATGAAGTGTATATATATATATATATATTAATAAAATAAATAAATTAGTTAAAAGATATTTTATCATTGATATATTATCATTTAAATCAATTTCTTCTTTCCTTTTTCCAACTGGTAAACTAAATATTTTAGCTTTTTTTTATTTTACATTTATTATAAGATATATTATTCTTACGTATAAGTATATGATTTATTTGTTAATAAACTTAATTTTTGTGGAACTCGCGTATATTTTCCAAGAAAATAGTGAGTGTAAGTTTTAAGTTCGAGGTTTGGCGACTCTTCCCCTCCGCCTCTCCAAGTCATGATAGACTTTAGCAACGCTTTCTTTTCTCAAGAAAGATTCTGATTGACTGTACTGAAATGACCAGTTATTCCAAATTGCAGTTACGTGTGCAGAAATAACAGACTTTCATAGCGAAGCACATGTATTAAAATTTTAAGTTAAGGGGGACCCCCCCTCAGAAACCAACTTTGTTATTTTTCATCCGATTTCAACCAAAATTTCAGAGAATGCTAATCTTGACTAGAATAGAGTATGGTTAAAATATCTCCCGAAATCTGCC